CATTGGTTTTGTCATTATTAAAGACCAGTCTTATTCCATGGTGATCTGATAAGAGGCAAGGGATTATTTCAATCTTTTTGTATCTGTAGAGGCTTGTTTTGTGACCAATTATATGGTCTATTTTGGAGAAGGTACCATGAGGTGCTGAGAAAAAGGTATATTCTTTTGTTTTAGGATGAAATGTTCTATAGATGTCTGTTAAGTCCATTCGGTTCATAACTTCTGTTAATGTCAAAGTGTCTCGGTTTAGTTTCTGTTTCCATGATCTGTCCATTGCTGAGAGTGGGGTGTTGAAATCCCCCACTATTATTGTGTGAGGTGTAATGTGTGTTTTGAGCTTTAGTAAAGTTTCTTTTATGTATGTAGGTGCCCTTGCATTTGGAGCATAGATGTTCAGAATTGAGAGTTCACCTTGGTAGATTTTTCCTTTGATGAGTATGAAGTGTCCTTCCTTATCTTTTTTGATTAATTTTGGATGAAAGTCGATTTTATTTGATATTAGAATGGCTACTCCAGCTTGTTTCTTGGGACCATTGGCTTGGAAAATTGTTTTCCACCCTTTTATTCTGAGGTAGTGTCTGTCTTTATCACTGAGGTGTGTTTCTTGTATGCAGCAAAATTCTGGGTCTTGTTTGTGTATCCAGTCTGCTAGTCTGCGTCTTTTTATTGGGGAATTGAGACCATTGATGTTAAGAGATATTAAGGAAAAATGATTGTGGCTTCCTGTTATTTTTGTTATTAGAGGTAAAGTTATGTTTGTATAGTTATCTTCTTTTGGGGTTGTTGGAAGATTACTTCCTTGCTTTTTCTAGGTTGTAGTTTCCCTCCTTGTGTTGGCGTTTTCCATCCATTATCCTTTGAAGTGCTGGGTTTGTGGGAAGATATTGTGCAAATTTGGTTTTGTCATGGAATATCTTGGTTTCACCATCTATATTGATTGAGAGTTTTGCTGGGTATAGTAATCTGGGCTGGCAATTGTGTTCTCTTAGGGTCTGTATGATGTCCGTCCAGGCTCTTCTGGCTTTTATAGTCTCTGGTGAGAAGTCTGGTGTAATTCTTATAGGTCTGCCTTTATATGTTACTTGACCTTTTTCCCTTACTGCTTTTAGTATTTTTTCTTTGTTTTGTGCATCTGATGTTTTGATTATTATGTGACGGGAGGTATTTCTTTTCTGGTCTAGTCTATTTGGTGTTCTGTAGGCTTCTTGTATGTTTATGGGCATCTTGTTCTTTAGGTTAGGGAAATTTTCCTCAATGATTTTGTTGAAGATATTTACTGGCCCTTTAAGTTGGGAATCTTCATTCTCATCTATACCTATTATCCTTAGGTTTGATCTTCTCATTGTGTCCTGAATTTCCTGGATGTTTTGAGTTAGGAGTTTTTTGCTTTTTTCATTTTCTTTGACAACTGTGTCAATATTTTCCACCGTATCTTCTGCATTTGAGATTCTCTCTTCTATCTCTTGTATTCGGTTGGTGATGCTTGCGTCTGTGACTCCTGATCTCTTTCTTAGGTTTTCTATCTCCATGGTTGTCTCCCTTTGAACTTTCTTTATTGTTTCTATTTCCAGTTTCAGATCCTGAATGTTTTTGTTTAATTCCTTCTTTGTGTTTTCTTGCATTTCTTTAAGGGATTTCTGTGATTCCTCTTTAAGGGCTTCTATCTGTTTACTTGTACTCTCCTGTATTTCTTTAAGGGAGTTACTTAATTCCTTCTTATAATCCTCTATCATCATCATGAGAAGTGATTTTAATTCTGAATCCTGCTTTTCAGGTGTGAAGGGGTGTTCAGGGCTTGCTATATTGGGAGAACTGGGCACTGATGATGCCAAGAAACTTTGGTTTCTGTTGCTTATGTTCTTGCGCTTGCCTTTCGCCATCTGGGTAACTCTAGTGGTACCTGCCCTCTCTGTGTAAGATTGGAATCTGTATTTCCAGTTATCTTGCTTATTGCAGAGCTCCTCGGAGTCCAGAGGTCTCTGTGGTCTTATGCCCCTAATCTCCCGGGTGGAAGAACTCCTGAGACTCAGGCCACCTCTTGGATCTGGTAATCCTTCTGTTCTGAGTGCAGTGGCTCCTCGGCTGCTCTGAGTGCAGTGGGTTCTCGATGACTCAGGATTCAGTTTCAGCTGCTCTGAGTGCAGTGGCTCCTAGATGACTCAGGATTCAGTTTCTCCACAGGACAGGAGCAGACCTACTCTGTGTCAGCTGCTCTGAGTGCAGTGGCTCCAGCTGCTCTGAGTGCAGTGGGTCCCTGATGACTCAGAATTCAGTTTCAGCTGCTCTGAGTGTAGTGACTTCTCGATGACTCAGGATTCAGTTTCTCCACAGGACAGGAGCAGACCTACTCTGTGTCTGCTCCAGTCCCAGGGACCAGGCAGGGGCCGAAGGGAAGTGGAATTCCGGAGGGGCAGGGTTTGGGTAGCTGCTGTGCCCTAGATGTCCCTGGCTCCCAGATGTATTTCTGGGGCCTAGGGAGTGAGATGGAGTTCTTACCAGCTGCTCTGAGTGCGGTGGCTCCTGGATGAATCAGGATTCAGTTTCTCCACAGGACAGGAGCAGACTAACTCTGTGTCTGCTCCAGTCCCAGGGACCAGGCAGGGGCCGAAGGGAAGTGGAATTCCGGAGGGGCGGGGTTTGGGTAGCTGCTGTGCCCTGGATGTCCCTGGTTCCCAGATGTATTTCTGGGGCTTAGGGAGTGAGATGGAGTTCTTACCAGCTGCTCTGAGTGCAGTGGCTCCTGGATGACTCAGGATTCAGTTTCTCCACAGGACAGGAGCAGACCGACTCTGTGTCTGCTCCAGTCCAAGGGACCAGGCAGGGGCCGAAGGGAAGTGGAATTCTGGAGGGGCGGGGTTTGGGTAGCTGCTGTGCCCTGGATGACCCTGGCTCCCAGATGTATCTCTGGGGCTTAGGGAGTGAGATGGAGTTCTTACCAGCTGCTCTGAGTGCAGTGGCTCCTGGATGACTCAGGATTCAGTTTCTCCACAGGACAGGAGCAGACCGACTCTGTGTTTGCTCCAGTCCAAGGGACCAGGCAGGGGCCGAAGGGAAGTGGAATTCTGGAGGGGCGGGGTTTGGGTAGCTGCTGTGCCCTGGATGTCCCTGGCTCCCAGATGTTTTTCTGGGACTTAGGGAGTGAGATGGAGTTCTTACCAGCTGCTCTGAGTGCAGTGGCTCCTGGATGACTCAGGATTCAGTTTCTCCACAGGACAGGAGCAGACCTACTCTGTGTCTGCTCCAGTCCCAGGGACCAGGCAGGGGCCGAAGGGCTGTGTTTACTTTTAAAGCAATATATAAATAAGACTTGTTTCATGTTTCCTCAATAATTTAAAACCATAGTTAAAAAAATAATCTAAAATCTAATATATGAAAAAGCACACATGTGTTTTTTTCTCTGCAAATTTTCAAAAAACTCTGTGTAAATATCACCACAAATTACATGTCCAAACCTCTCATCATGCTGTGTACCCTGGCCAGAATTCCCAGGATCATGATAGTTTATAGCCAGTCTTTATTCCTTACAGGGAACTGTAAATTTTATAAATGGATGGATTTGTGGTTAATGCTTCTAGTCTTGTTTCATATTATGGTATTTAATAGTATTTACACTATATAAACAATAACAATATGTTTAGAATTATGAGAATAGAAAGTTTTGGTTAGTCCTTCCTGTGGTCCATTTTTTTATTTTATTTTTTTATTGGATATTTTATTTATTTACATTTCAGATGTCATCATCTTTCCCCATTTCCCATTACTAGAACCCTCCCCCATTCCATGTCTCCTCCTCCTTTTGGCTTTTATACTATTTTAATAAATATATGCTACTTTAATGTATCTATTAAGGTAAGTTCTAGGTTGAGGTTTTAGCAATGCTACAGATGCAAATAGTCAAGGAACAAGCAAGACAATAAACACAAATAAAGAACAAGCAAGGCATTAAACATACTTACATGAACACTTCTGTGATCACTGTTTCTAAGGGCTTATCAGGATCACCGAAATATCTGAGCCAACTTCCCTGTCCTAGTCCAAAGTCATTTTCATGTCTGAAGCCTACTTCCTTGTTCTAGCCTCAAATTTAGATTCCTGTCTGAAATTACTTCTTTGTTTTTGCCTAATATTTAGATTCCTATCTGAAATTACTTCTTTGTTCTTGCCTAATGTCAGATTCCTGTCTGAAGCCCACTTTCTTTTCCTTGGCCAATGTTATATTCCTGCCAAGAAGCCCATTTCTTTGTCCTTGGCCCTTGTCAGATTCATGCCAAGCTGCCCCAAAGGCTTTCTGCCTTATGATAGTTTCGAGATTAGGGACTTTTTTTTTTTTTTACAAAATAAAAAGAAAACAATTTACATTTTATTTTTTCATTTACGTGTGTATGTATCTGCATGAATATTTGTTAAGCTTATGCCAGTGGCTAAGTATATCATAAAGGGCAGCTGTTTCCTTTGAAGCTGAACTTACAGGCACTTTTTGACCACTGTACTTGCATGGTGCTGGGAACAACACTCAGGTACTAAAACTGTACAGATACAATCTTAGTCCTTTGTCCATGTTTTCTGACCCTACATTTTCATTATAAATAAAGACACTGGCCTAGTGAAGAGAAAATAATTTTTCAATGGTATATACATATTGATGCTACAAAATATGTCATTCTTGAATCTCCATTAATCAAGATTAGTTGGTAATTGCTTAAGGACTTTCTAAAATAGAGGAAAACTTTTCAGTAAGTGAGCATGAGATCATTTAGGAACCTAAAAATTACATCTCTATGAAATTGTATAGCTAACCAAAATGTCTTGTATCAGGACTGCTACCTTCTGCTACTTGATCAATTATATGAGCTTTTTACAAGAGTTTGTGAGTTTTATAGTGACTATCATTATACATTTGGTCACCTATAGAAGATTACTTCACTTTTTATTTTATGGACATAACACTTTACATACACGTGAAACAGGTTTTCAAGCTACTGAGAAGAAATGTAACTTACCCAAATATTCACTGTAAAATGAATCCCATTTCTTGGCATTAAATGTCTGGAACCAAAAGTCAAAATAAAGCATACATATCATATTTTTTACTCTTTCTATAAATGTCATTTGGCCACCTAATCCTGACAAAATTACAGGTACATAAGAGGGAGGGAGTATAAATCTTCCACTGGACTTTTCAATCTGGTAGCCTGGAGAGAAGCGAAGACTGTAGAGAAAAGGAATCTGGAGCAGTTCAGCTATCAGCTCCCCACAGGAAGCAACAGGATCCGACAAAAGGACATCAAACTTGGATTCCTGTAGTTTTGTCATGAGCTGTTTGTTTGAAACAACATCTTTACAAAGATTTTGATAATAATCAGAAAACTCATCAATCATATTTTGCAGTAAAGGAGAATATGACAAACACGTATCTCGTGGAACCTCATAAGTCCACACGTCCACAACCCTTATGAAATATTTTTCCAGATCATCTTTACTGACAGAGGTAGGAAAAGTTTCAAACTTGAGGCCAGGTGATTTTTTGGGATCAAGAAAATAGTAAGCTGAAGGTTTCAGAACAGTGACTTCATGGCCCCTCTGAACAAGTTCATCCAGTATTATCTTTATGTTCATCCAGTGACTGAATTCCATCGGCCACACCAATACCTTTCCACAGTTCACAGATCTGAAGCAGCAACTCATCTGCAGCAGGAGCAGAGCAGAAATCCACTTTCCATGCATTCTGAAAATCACAGTCCTTCTCTTCTCACTTTGTTCCTTTCTGCCACTGCTTGACCTTTTATCGAAGAAGCTTTAGCTCAGAGGTTAAAATATAACTTGCATTGCTCAAGCTGATAAGTAAATGACTATTACTATGGTGGTAGGGAAAAACAAAGTGAAGAACGATTTTAATTAAAATTGTCCTGTGTACATGAGCATGTTTAATGTCTCTTTTATGATGGAGTGTTTTCAATAAGCCAAGAAGTAATAACTTCATGTTTAATTATTAGTGGTACATAGATATTAGAATATTCTAAAATCTCTCACAAAACTAGTGACATCATAATGTGCCTGATTTTTGAATTCAACTTTATATAAAAATGAAAACATATTAATTTATGTAGTTTATAATTATATCTTCCACATAATGAATGAAAAATGTTTGTATTTGTGTTGATCAATATAGTTATATAATCCAATACTACAATATAAGTGTATGACAGATATTTTATGGTATACTTGCAGTAAACCATAAACAGCCTGATGACAAGTTTGTAAGAATTGCATGAGACATAGTTCCCTCATTCAGTCCTCCCTTCAGTGCAGTCACAAAACTTGGAAATACAAAGCAGATATTCCACTGGCCTCTTCCATAAAGGGCCAAAGTAAAAAGGGATATGTTGAGATTCTACCACATAGATGTGAGGTAGAATTCTGTGAACATTGAAGAGCTGTTGCACATACAAATCCCAGTAGAAAGGACTGTATGCTCAAAACTTGTCCAAGATTGTAGACCATAATCTTAGGATGAATAAGAGACACATGAGTTCCCATTCCTGCCTGAGGAGTTACTGGCAGGTGAGGGAGGCTATAAATGAAGTCAGGAGCTTTAGAATGAGAGGGCTAGCCATGATTCAAGAGATAGTTTTATACTATTGTGGTAAATAGTTAATAGGAAATTTATACCTATCCCTGATCATTCAGTTCCCAAATAAATGTTATGAAATCTTTATAAATAAAGTTAACCATGACAGCACTATATCTGGGTAGATATCAACCCTCTATGCTACTTTGTCTCCATCTCTGTCAACATCCCTGAGTTATAACTTTCTCTTTGGGCTGCATCTATTTGAACTGGTCACCCTTCATGGTCATTTTCTCATGGTTCAACTACCCATATCATCTTCTCCTCTTCCCTCCCCTCCCCTCCGCTCCCCTCCTCTCTTCTCTTCTCCTCTTCTTCCTCCTCTTCCTCCTCTTTTCCCCCCTCCTCCTCATCTTCATGATCTTGGCTTAGGACCTAAGTTTGTGAACTGAACCTATGCCTAAATGTCTTCTGCCCACCTGTAGGCATCTTTATTGATGAATCAGGGATAATTTGAGGGGCAAAGTTATATAGCCTCACTTGCTGTATATGAAGAACTCCTTTGGCCTGGGAGCAATCAAACTTTGTGGTCTAATATTTAGTGTTATAATACAAAGCAAGAAACAAAACCTTTCTAGTATATCTATAAACATGCTGGCAAGACTCAGTGGACTAACTTCTGTTTAAAAAATGTATATCAAATTGGGAATGAATAGTGGTGGGGTATAGTGTGAAAAATGGAGGGGAATGTAGACTTGGTTATTTGACCAAAACATGTTATATGTGTATCTGTAATTCTGAAAAATAAATAATTGTCTTTTAAAAGAAAACTGAGCACAAGGCAGCTACTATCTTGACTCTGAAAAATAATAAGAATTAAAAAGGATTTTAACCTAGTATGTGATAGTTTGCAGGGACTCCTTGAAGCTTCTAGTCACACCCTGGATAGGAGAAGAGCTTGTCTTTCAGATTCTGTGTGGCTGGTTTGGTGGGAATCAGTTGAAACACAACTGAATTTTACTGGAATAAAAACACCCAATACATGTTGTTTTCCCTCTCTCATCTGATCCTCCTGCATAAATCAGGAGATGTCTTGTAATGGAGCTGACCAACTTACCCATGGCTCCTATATCTTAGATCACTCTATCCTAAAATCCTACTATCTACCCATGTGTATATTCACAACAGTGAGAAGCATAAGGGAAACCATTCTATGTGTTTTACTCAGTAGAATCACTTGTAAGATGACATTATATCATCCATTGAATACTTTAAAAATTTCATCATGGTAAAGGTCTTACCTATTATTCCTCATCTTCTGGAGAAATAACAAATTATCTTCTTTGGAAATTCTTGAATAGACAGTGCCAAATTATTATTTCTATAATGCTCTAGGTATTTCTTGATCAATTAAAGTTAATAATTAAAAATTTTTGATCACACTTTTTATTGTATATTCTAATTATTTATATTACAGATGCTAGCCCTTTTCCCTATCCTCGCTTCCCCTTTTTGCTTTCATACCATTTTAATTACAAGCAAATATTAAGGTCAGTTCTAGGGTGAGGAACTAGAAATACAGTAGATGTAAATAGTCAAGGAAAAAGCAAGACAATAAACACAGTCAAAGAACAAGCAAGACAATAAACAAAGTCCTTTGATCACTCCCATGAGCACTGTTTCTAAGGGCTTATCAGGATGACCAAAATATCTGACCCTACTTCCATATCCTAGCCTAAAACCATTTTCATGCCTGAAGCCTATTTCTTTGTTCTAGTCTAAGATTTAGACACCTGCCTGAATTAATTCTTTGTTCTAGCCTAATTGTAGACTCTTGCCTCTTGCCTCATTCCTTGTCCTTAGCCAATGAGAGATTCCTTCCAAGCAGCCCCTTAAGCTCTCCACATCTCCTCCCTTTTTATTTCAAAAGTGAAGCTGAGCCTGTCTTAGGTTGTTCTGAAGAATGCCTTCCTTACACATTGTGGAATATGCATTATCAAAAGCAATGCACTTTTGTCTTAGGTTGGTATGGCTCTGTGCAGAATCTTACCCATTCTTGGCTTGACAGACTTTTGAATTAATAACTCTGTCTGGGGTCCATTTTCAATTTCAAGTCATGTATTTTGGCTGCCAATATGTTGATCATGTTAATTACAAGCGTTAATATGATGGGAATGAATAAAAATATTTCCAGGACAAAAAGGGCTAGCATGATCAAGATATATATGCCATTTGTGAAGCTTGATTTAAATGGAAATACTGACCTCAAGCCATGGATAATTTTATCAGCAGTATCTTAAGCTTCAAAGTTCAGCAGAGCAGCATTCTTCACATTCATAATCTCACTATGTAAGGTTAAAACATCCAGAGAGGTATTAAAATTATGCCAAATACACTGCAAATACTTTTAATCTTTTTCCTAATTACAATGGCTATCATTGTAAATTATAGAGATAACACAAATCCACTGGTCTTTGGCATGACATTCTAGATGGCTCTTTATTCTTAAACTCTGAACCTATTTTCAGTAATTTGAATAGGATAAAGAGCATCAATGCATTGTTCCAAATGCCTATCTAAATCCTCAACACATTCAATTCAACACATTAGTATCATTTTTTTGCTAAATGATTAACAAAAGTAGCAGCTTAACTTCTTATGTCAAAGCAATTGCAGAAGCAGTGGTGCTAGCAATTAATGTAACTAAAGCTGTTACACTAGCAATAATCAAGCCCACTATCTTCTTGCTTCTGCTTAAAGTCTAAATCACTTATTTCAGTACGTGCAAGATTTTCTCAGAATATCAAAGTTCTGTAATACTCAGGCAATAAAACAAATCTGGTAGATGAACCCCCATAACAAACATGCCAGATTTCAACACATTAACACAATTACAAAGTGTGTGATCAATGGAACTTACAAAAAATACTGTAGAAGAAACAAAAGTAATTTTAACTTGACAATTAAAAGAGCCTTAACACATGCACTAACACTTGTTTGAAATCCAGATCCTGTCCTAACTTTATCTCTTGCTAATATAGTATCATAGAGAACTGCATCTAACTTCTAAATAAGTCTCTGAAAATGTCCAGAAACAGCCTTCCAAATGTAGACTGTTATTCCCAATAATGGATTGATTCCTAGACAAGTACATAATTGAGTCCAAATAACTGGTCATATTTAAGAAAAATACAAAAGTCATTATAGCTTCTCTTTTTGATTCTCTCTCCTACAAGGTCTAAAAACTTGAGGCAAGGCAGCTTGTCAAATCTGGGCTATAGGTAAGCAAAGGTAGGTCAGGAAAATATGTCTAATACAACTTCCCAGTCACCATTGTCAGGGCACTCAGGCAGCTCACAGGTCAGCATCATTCTTTGTTCCAGTATCAGCATGTTTCACTAATCACTCTGGCAGCCACCATGCTCCTTCAGCATCTTGCAGGAAAAACAGAACAAAACAACACAAACATGCCCTCTTCCCTATATTAGGTACCTGATCAGGATCATGCCATATGCCAGTGAGTGGATCCTTCTTTTTTAGCTAATCATAAGTATGCCTAGTTATTGGGTACCATAGACACTCAGCAGAAAGTTCCTTGGCATCCATATTTTTAAAAATTTAAAATAAAGAGAACATGATTTAAATAAATTTCTGGTATATAGGCATATACCTCCCACTTTTTTATTTTATGAAGATGTTGTTTGAAAGTTCCATGGGCCCCCTTCACAATACCTTGTCCTTGAGGATTAAAAGAATTCCAGTTGTATGGGTAATATTAAATTGTTGACATAAAGTCTAAAATGCTCTTCTGCAATACCCAGCTCCATTATCTGTTTTTTATTATTGAATATTTTATTTATTTACATTTCAGATGTTATCTTTTTCCCCATTCCCCGCCCACAGAAACCTCTTATCCCATCCCCCCTCCTTATGCTTCTATTAGGGTGTGCCACTAACCATTCACCCATTCCTATCTCCTGCCAACGAATTCCCTCAGATTGGAGCATCCAGCCATCAAGGGAACTAGAGCCTCCTATCTCACTGATGCCTGACAAAGCCATTCTCCACTACATATACAGCTGGAGCCATGGGTCCCTCCATGTGTATTCCCAGGCTAGCTGTTTCAACCCTGGGAGCTCTGGTTGGTTGGTATTGTCATTCTCCCCTTAGGGACACATGGTCCTTCAGCTCCT